TGCAGCCCCGCGCTACATAAATCACGGGAACGGTCCCGCCCCGACACGCGCGATCTTTATTTATGTCACTTCCTTCCCGAAGGAGATTCGGCCCGATATATCGTTCCCTCGTTATCGAATTTAAACGCAGACGGGAGGAATCGATTCCCGCCGACGTCCGGTGGACGCGCGACCTTGGACGATACGTTTCCGGACTCGGGAGAGTCAGCTCGAGCCGGGTCGAGGAAAGCACCCGAGAGACGAGCGCGGAGAAAGCGAAGCACCGCCGGGATCTTCGTTTAAACGGTCAGGCGAGAACGAAGAGACCCGAAGAAGAAAGGGTTACGGTCGTTCGGTCGGCCCCTACGTGCCCGGAATGGCAGCGTCGAGAGTCACCCTCGAGCCTCCTTATTCGCCTCCACGAACCACTGGCCCGTTTCTCCCCGTTTCCGCTCGTTCACCGCCGCCGCCACCGGCGTTCTTTTATGCGACGAATGCAGGCCCGAGGAGGTCGATGCGCAATCGAGTTACCTAAACTCGGCTCCGTACCTCGTTCGCCGAGGCCGCGTGCCGCTTTTTGTCCCGAGGTCAATCATCGAGTTAGCCGGCAACGCGAACCCGTCCCCGCCACGGCGCCCGCGGAAATATCGGCGGAGCTACGACGTTCCCCCGGGTTTCTTGCGGCTGTCCGTTCTTCCCCGAGGAAAAACGTCGAAAACTTCCGACGACCGTTTTCCATTAATCCGCTCGCCGGGAAAGACGGCACTCGGCCGCGAGCCCGGGAGCGGGAAGGGGACTCGCCGAGGCGAATGCGCGATCGGTCGATATTAGCTCGATCGCGGTTGGCGGTAATGCCTCCGTTAAGTAAGGCAACGTTCCATTACCCGGGGAATGTACGCGGGAGATACGCGCGACCGTTGCTGGATGTACCAGAGAATTCGATTAAAAGTCCATCGACGACGACGCTCGCCGCTAACTCCGTCGTGGCCGCGATTAAGCTTTTTCGCGTCTACTCGATCGATCCCAAAGCGAGGAGGCGAGCGGAAAAATAACGGTCTCGGTCAATTTGGCCGATGCCCTCGACCGGGTCGTCGCTCGTCGGCCGTCCCCGTTCTGGAAGCCGATTCCGCCGCGCGGACAAAGAGACGCGTCTTGAATTTCATTCCGGGGGTGCGACGAGACAAAGATTTACGCCGATCGTTACGGAAATGCGGCGGATGCAGTCGCAACGCGACCGACGTTATCGTCCGACGGATACGACGATATCCCGTGATTTACCGTCTTCGGAGGTGGTGGTAAATCATAAAAGCGGCACTTGCGTCCCGAGTTACGGTCCGGATATAAAAGGGAGCACGAAGTTCGGAAGGGCGGGGGCGCAATCGGCGCGATTAGCGCGATTAGCGCGATTCTTCTCGTCGACGGCGACGAGTAACGAGACACCGAAACGCTGCGATCGTTACGGAAATACGGTACGCGTTGGCTACGACATGCCGGACATTATAATCCGACAGGAACGAGGATGTCTCGTGATTTACCGCCTCCTCCTCGGCCCTCGGCCATTTGTCAAGCTTTGTGCTTTGACCGCCTCGATTCCCTCGGACGTAGAATGTTTTCCCGGGGAGTAATTACAGGGAAATCCTGCATATCCCGCGCGATCACGGAAACCACTTTTGCCGCGTTTCGAAGGAAGGTGGAGCGGGAAATGATCAATGAAGGAATCGCATGGCCTCCCGTCGCCGAGGTCGCGAACGCGAGTTCCGGACCCGGGAACGTCGAAGGTACGATTTTACGGGGCTCGCAGCGGATTTCGAAACGTCGAGGCTCGAAGGAACGCATTGTCCGCCTAACGAGAAGCGGGGCTGCGGAGAACGGGGGTCGTGCGTGGCTCCGGCACTCCGCCAGGAACGACGTACGTAACGCCACCCCGCGCAGCCCCCTTTTTTCCTCGGCGCGCGCGCGCGAGAGGCGTCGCCAAATGAAATACTTGCGTAATTACAACGAGCCCGCGAATGTTTGCGCATCGTGCCGGGCCGATTCCCGCTTTCGAGGACGTATTTTCTCGTATTTTCGCGTATTTTCGCGTATTTTCGCGTATTTTAACCGTCCTCGAGCGCGCACCTGCGATTCCCGCCCGGGCGGACGGTCGGTACACGCGAACGGCAAAGCGTCGAGTACTTTGGATTAATGAAACGCGTATTCACCGCTTCGTAAACAAAAAGGGAAGAAAAATGTACCGACGGGAAAAAGAACCGGTCGCTGAAAACGTCCTCTCCCGGACGAGTACCCCCAAAATTGACGCGATTTTCTCGTCGAAAGGATTTCGGAAAGGGGGTTAAGGTCGGGTTTTCGATGTCCCTTTAACGTCGTCCGCGATGCCTTTTACCGGCAATTTTTCCCAACCCCGAATTTCCTGCGTGCCGCGATAAAACTCAAAACTCGTCCTCGCCTTGATCCGCGAAGGCGGCCGACCGCGTAACCGTCGACGACTCGTGCGAAAGATGCACCTGGGCGACGACGCGATCGGGCGCCCCCCGGGGAAAATGCATCGACTCGAACGCGAATCTGCCGTGAGCACGATTCGCTTGAAAATTTATGTTCTCCGCGACTCCGGGGAAGCTTTACGGAGTACGCGATTCCTCTCCCCGGGACGTTTAAGGCGCCGACTCCGGCCAGCCTCCGACGATTCGTTCGCGAGGCGAGCCAAAGGGTCGCCCGGGGCGCTCCAAGAAAGGCGGTCCACTCCGCGCCAAGGAATTGGGGTCCCTCCTCCAAAGGGACCCCCCATCTGCCAAATCTGCCGAACTCCGGAACTCCGGAACCATCGATCGCGGTCCCCCATCGATGTCACATCGATTTCCGTCTCGACGAACGAACGAGTTGCCCGATTCGACGGCGGACGGAGATCGAGCGCCCTTCGGGCCGAGTCCGAGTTCGATCGGTCCTCGTCGCGCGGCGTCGACGGATCGCCCAAAAGAGAGAGCAACGGGAAACCCTCGAGTCGCGAGGAAGCACGGCCCCGTGAACCGGAAGTCGAAGAGGAATGGTCCCGGGACCGCGAAACGAACTTCCGTCCGGGAGTTGATTCAAACTGCGCGCCGCGAGTCACGGGCGACGCTCCGGCCCGCCGATCCGCCGATTCGACGGACCCGGCTATCGACGAGGTGGACGCGGCAAAGCGTGGCTCGAGAGGAAGGGTTCCCTCGGGAGAGGGGAACGAGGGGGTTTCGGGATCGCGGCCACTCCTCACCGCGATAAGAGACGCAACCTGCGCGAACCGCCTGACAAAGTGCGCCGTATCCGCCCCCGACGCTATCGTTGGGTTAACGTCCGGACGGAGAGACGTCTTCGAGATTAACGCGGAATCCGATCGAGGCTCGTCCACGGGGCCGGGAGGGAAAAGAATTTATCGGACTCCCGAGCTGCGTTTTCCTGAAAATTCCCGTTCCCCCGGCACGAATGGAACGATATCGTTAGCTCCGGGGAAAGAATCCGCCCTCGCGCCGGCCGAACCGATAACGAATCGCGTTCCACCCCTTTGGCTCGGCCATCGGGGGATTCTTCCGCGCCGCAAGGTCCCCGGGATGGAATTTAACGAAGCCGTTTCCGGGCTCGATTTCCGGGATTACGGGAGCGCGGGAGGAGAATTCGGACGGGGAACAAGACGGTCGTGGGGCGGATCGAAGCTCGACTCGACGCGGCGGGTAATTAGCGACACGCGGCCCGACCGAGCGAATCGGCCGAGGGCGCGCCGCGCTTTCGCGGAGTGGATTCGCTTTTTTCCGAGACTCGCACGAATGCCGCTCGAGAGGGACGGTCGATCCCGGGAAAAACGTCGCGAGGCGTCACGCGATCGGCCGACTCTCGCCCCCGAGTTTCCCGGGCAGGGGGAGGCGAGGACGAGAAGGAAGACGTCGCTTCCGATTCGGTCGCGAACGAAGAGATTCCGAAGTCGCGGCATTCCTCCCGTTGGCAACGCGTTTTTCTCAAAAACGTAAACCACGACGGAACCGTAGACGACGGAAATCTCTTCCGCGAAGTGCTCCTTCCTTTATTGCTCTTCGAGGGCGCTCCCCTCGCCTCCCCCGGCCGCGAGCTCGCGAATCGAGGAGAATCGCCGCGACGTGCTCCGTTTCCGCTTGCCGGATCGGCGAAGAGGCATCGACGGAATTTATTCGGTCCGGCGATAAGATCGCGGAAACGTCCGGTGCACCGGGCTCTCGACGGCCGAGAGGACGCGCTCCGATCCCGGGGAAATTCCGTCTCGCTCGGCCGGGCTCGCGCGGTCCTCCTCCTTCCTCCTTCCGGGCCTCGAGGGCGCGGAGCGTCTCTGCGACGTCTCCGGGAACGTAATCGAAAACCAATTACGTGAAAGCCCTCATAAATTTCGACGTCCGCCGGTATTATAAATCCGCGGTATCCGTCTTCGAGCCGTGCCGGATAACGGTGCCACCTGCTTCTCCGAGCCCCGGAACTGCCCGGGCACTCCGGAGATCGGCAATCGCCGAAGCGCCCCGACCCTCCCCGTCCTCGCCGTCCGGACTGGAGTGCCGACGGTAGCGCGTTCAATTTGCGAGAAAACGGACAGGGCGATCGAGGCGCCCGCTCGGAGGAACGGCAACGCGAACACCGTCCGTGCGTTCCGGAAAACGCTCCAACCTTCTTACGGTCCAGCGATCTCGAAGCGAGCGGCCGCCCCGACCTCCCGCGATTTCCCGGAGCGAGCGATTCCGCTCTTTACGACGCACCGAAAAATTAAATTCCAATCGGGGAGCACGTAGGCTATCCATTAAATCGCGGCATACAATGGGATGGCTTCCGGGATCGCCCCTTCCCTCCTCCACGCTCGCTCCGACTTCCGAACGATCGGGACGCGGTGTCGGGTGCGACCGATTTGCACTTAATGTCGCGTTTAAACGCGCCATCGAGCTCGGAGGAGAGTCCGCGCGATTCCGGACTGGAATGCGGCGAGGAGCGTCGACGGGTCGGATCGCGTAATTCGCCAGGTCGGACGAAAGACTTACCCGAGTGATGACAAAGGACGGCAACCAGGGGCAGAAGGGCTCTCACCCACCTTCCGCGCGTCTCCCTCATCCCGAAGCGGTGGACGGTCCGGTTTCTGCCACTTCCCGAAAGAATCGGGAGAAGCCGACGCTTTCCCGCGAGTTATCGTCCGTCACTCGACGGCACCGCGGGACGTCCAGGCCGCATCGCCGTCATTCAATGCCGCCTCGCGGAAACGCGCGTCTCGCTCCGCAACGTCACCGATCGAAGCATCCTCCGGATTTATCCGAACCTCTTTCGCCCTCGCCTTGCCGGCTAACCGGTCAACGTCCGGTCAACGTCCGGTCAACGTCCGGTCAACGTCCGGTCAACGTCCGATCGGACGGCCACTCGAGTCCTCGTCCCGACGCATCGTCGGCGTCGGTCGCTCCCCGCGACCGCTGACGGCTCCGCCGAGGTTTCACTGGCCCGTCGAAGGTGCGTCCATCTCTGCCTCCTCGAGCCACGCGACCGCCGAAAGCGATCGATCGCAAACGGCGAAAATGGACGATTAGGATCGAGGCGCCACTGCGAGGTCGAGGGCGGCGGCGCCGCGCTCGGAATTCCGCTCCATCGGGTTAACGTCCTGGCATTAATTAGCCGAAAGGTAATCCTCGGACGTTATTCTTCCTCGAAGCCCGTCCAGTTTCGGGGCGGAGGATGATTTACCGAGCGGATCCCCGAGCTGCACCAGCGGTCGTCGTTCCGCGGCCTGGAACAGAAAAGAGAGCGAGTCCGCGTAAGTCGGTGAAAAGAATTGAAACGCGTCCTAGTCGGGCGAACGGGCGCGTTTTCGACACGGAATCTGTCACCGGTACCAAAAACGGCCGCTGCCGCGACGAATCGCGAGAACGTCGCGCAAAACTCTCTCCTTTCGGCTCTCGGGACTCTCGGAGGCTCGCTTCCTCCCCTCGCTCGCGGAAAACGGAAGCACGTAGCGTTACCGGCCGATCTGATTATTACCGAGAGCCCCTTGACGGCGACCCTATTAGGAACCGGAGAGAGAAGGAGCGGTTCGTACAAATTGGCGAGCGGGGATGGCTCGATCGAACGAATTTCGTGTCCGCGGTCCCAGAAAATTTAAAGCGGGCCAGCAACGACCCAGACCGACGGAGACGCGTTATCCGAGGACTTTGTCATCGCCGAAGGTCCTCGAGGTCGATTAAGAGTCAGGGAACGAGGAGCGATCGGGTCGATGGAGCGTTCGACGATCGACTCGTCCGGATATCCGTACATCGATGGACCGATTCGTCATCCCTCGGGGACATCCGCGTCAACCCGATTAACCCGCCGTCAGCCGAATCCTAGGCGGAAGGTCGATTAATCGAATCTCGACTCCGCGGATCGAGAGGGGATCGAGTGCCAAGGCGACGAGGACGTCGACGATTTCAGGGAGCGAGCCCGTTCGCGTATTCGTCCAATCCGGCACGAACGAGATGTAATTGGGTCTCCGGAGCTACGACCCCGAGGGACAGGGAAACGTCTTCCGGCACTTCTCGGGGCTCCGGATTAAAGTGCTAAAGCGCAAGAGGGACCTCCTATAACTCCCGGAGTTTTAGGATCGCGACCTCCTGGATTCGGATTTCGGATGCAACTCCGACGTACGATCGCCTTCGGCAAAGAAAAGTCGCAGCTCTCGTCGTCCGGCGTCGCGTTACGACGCGACGGGGGCCACGAGACGCGATTTCGACTCGCAATCGTAATCGCGCGTTTCGGGACTCGCCTGCTTCGTCCGTTGGACCGACGCCCGGAGTCGTTAAGCGTCGCTCCGCGAGGACCGCCGTTGCCCCTCGTTAAGCGTGTCGCGTTATCGTTTCACCGACACCGCCGGAGCCGGGGGTCGTCGCCCGTTGTCTCGTCGCTTCCCGCGAATCGAATTTGTCGACACCTCGAGCGCCGGCCAACGGGGAGTCGAGGTCGAAATAATTTCGGGGCGGGGAGGACCGGGTAGCGTTCGAGGGAACGAGAGCCGCTCCCACGGGAGACGCGAAAGGACGCTCGAACGCGCGTTACTCCGGAGAAATATGAGATATGCAACGGGACACCGGGAGGGTGCCCGTCCTCTTTTTACTCGACGATAACCACCCCCGGGGAGAGCGCGGGAAACCCCGAGACTCTCTCCGAACGGGGAAACAATTTCTTCGGGACGCGAGACGAAGAGGTAGAGACGGTTTCCCATTCCGCTCGTCGAGTGGCGGCTGCATCGATTGCTCGCCGGGCGCCGCGACGCCGGCCGGATCGGCTGTCGGCGGTCGTAAACCGCGCGACTCGTCTCGCGATCCGTGGCTTAATCGTTCGCGCTTCGTTTTTCCCAGCGGAGTCGGTCGCAAATATTCGGCGGAAGATCCGCGCTCGGAAAGTGTGTCCCGTGTCGAGCGTCGTCGCGGAGACGACGCGAAAGGCATTTTGGGGAGGGCTTTGGACTCCGGGATTGTCGGCAAAGCGACACCGAAAGTTCAAACTTTGAAACCGTGTAATTCCCGCGAATCTGGACATTCGGACGCGCGGTTTAACCTGGCAAACGCGTGCACCGGAGTCGCCGAGGACGTGGAAAACGAGCGCTGCAGCGTTGCATTTTTTCTGGAAAAAGTTCGTCCCGGCTGGCCGATTCGCTGTAAACCGGAACGCGTCCCTCCCGCTGGTCTTCGGTGTTCTCCTCGCGGTAACGGATCGACCGGCGGCATTACACGAAGCGCCCCCGCTCGATTTTTGGAGGGCCCCGAAAATCGTAATCCCGAAACTTTTCCGGGAACGCCATCGAGGCTCGGAATTCCAGAAAAGCGACGCCGGATCGACGGATGGTTCCCAGCGGTTGGCGCCGCAGTTTCCTCCGGATTTACGAGCCCGAAAATCCGGAGGGTAATCGCCCTCCGTTGTTTGACATTCGACGATTAAACGGCAATTCCGCTGTCGTGCCGGCGAGCGTTAGCGTTCCGCCCCGAGGAAAACAAAACCAAGAGGAAAGTATTCGGGGCAAAGTGGAGCGAGCCATCGATCAAAATATCGCCGTCGACGCGGCCGTCATGGCAGTCCGAGCGCTGCCAACGGCCGGCGAAGGTGCCGGTCGGTCCAACTTGCCCGCGAGCCCGAATCGACTCGGCGAGGTTCGTGGCCGACACTCCTCGCCGCCCCTTCGGCACCGAAATACTCGAAGGAGCCGAGTCGATCCGCGATGGCCGATTCCAGGGGAAGACGGCGAGGTCGCGTGATTTTCCCCCAGGCGGATAGAGCCGGGCAACGCGGAGCCGTCGATCAAAAGCTTGCCGGCGACATGGCGGCCGGAACACCGTTAGCGACGAGGGGCGATTTCCCATTTTTTCCGGCGTTGTTTCCCGTCCAGGGGTGAATAAACTGGAACGGCCCCTCGCCCACGAGGATGGCGGCGGGTATCGTTCCGACCCTCGGACCCAAAAAATCGCGACCGAGGTCGAAAGCAAAGGATCTCGTCGGCGCTCGCGGCGGGCAGCGAATTCGACGAAAGATCCCGAAAACGTAACGCAACGGCGGGTTTTTTCGCGAAGGGACAATTAATTCGTGCGCGCGGCGATCGAGCGGAACGCTCGACGGTCGAGTAATCATCGGTCGATATTCAGCGGCCGGTTCGTCCCGGGGAAAAGGTAGATTCGGGGCCAAAGTGGAGCCGTCAATCAGAAATCCACCAGCGACATGGCGGCCAGCCGCTCTGCCGGTGACAAGCGAAGACTCCCGAATCGACGGTTGATTTTCCCCGGTCACTTTTTCCCGGGAGCGGGAACGAACTCGACCTCGGAACTGGTCGACTCGGCGCGCGAGGGTGGTCGATACTTCCCCCGACGAGACGAATCGAAAAATCGCTGACGAAGTCGCGACTCTCGGGACGTTTCGCCTCGACGCGACGTCGAGAAGTCGCTCCGGAGCGGAGCGCCTCCCCGGTAACGAGATCGACCGGGTCGACGATGCGCCCTTAACGAAAAGTACCGCGCAAAACGGATCCCGTTCCCGCGGTTCGGCATACTAATGAGCAGATTATATAACGAAATGGAATTAACGATGAGATGCAAATCCCGCCGAGCCGGGGCGAAATGCAGAAAAATCAATTAGTTGTAATTGCGCAGCTGCCATCGGGACGGTGACCCGCTCCGTCGTAAATTGTAAACGCATTATGCATTCCGGGACGATCGATCGGTTACATCGGGCGATCGGTCGACTAATTAACGATCGCGCTCCGAATGCGCGGGACGAGTTACCACCCCGAGTGCCCGGTTGCTCAGCTGCAAGTTATCGGTTAATGGACTCTGGCCCGGTTATCCGCAGCTCGTGATTAACCGCGTAATCGATTAAAAAGCAAGTCGATTACCGTCCGTCATCGCCGGGCCGAAATTCCAAATCGGACGCGAGACGACGATCCGACGGAACGCTCTCTCCCGAGAAAGACGCAACTTCGGTCGCCTCGGAAGGACTTTCGAGCGCGGCCGCCGGGACCCTGGGATCCTCGTGCCGCGAGATCGACGATGATCGCGAGCCCCGAAACGACTTCGACCCGGCCCTCCCGATCGGCTGCCCGCGACGCGGGTCGTCCCCGAGAACAACTTTGGCGCCGTCGATCGACGCACCGCGAACTCCTCGCCACCCCCGCGGAACGACGAGAAATAAAATTGCACCCTTCGGATCCACGACCCCGGTCGAAGCCGGAACTCACTTTCTCGACGAACGGGCCGAAACGAGCCCGCGGGTGGAGGAGGCGCGAGCATCCGTCGACGCTCGGGCAACCCCGAGCGACCTACCGTTTATCGTCCCTGCGTCATCCGTTAATCCGTTAATCCGTTAATCCGGGAGGAGCGAGAGGAACGCGCAGCTCGCGAACATGGCGGCATCGGCGCGTACGTCGACGGCCGGGTCGGTGGGGTTCCGCGTGGCGGCTCGTCCGCGACTGAGAGCTCGCGCGAGCCTCCCTGCCGGAGTTTCCCGGGTCCGCCGCCAGAGTGCCGCTACCCTTACGTTGGCCGAATGCGCCCCCACCGACCCTCCGCGACCCTCCACAGCCCGGCGAGCTTCTGCGCCGAGAGGGTCGCGGCCGACCCCCGGACGACGAAA